TTTTTTTTTTTTTTTAAAAAAAAAAATAAAAAAAAAAGGATATTATTACCTACCTTTATATTATTTTATTTTCCTTTTCCCTCCAGTACTTGCCTAACAAACAGAGTCTCTCTAAAACTACCTTGATTCCATCTCTTGCCATCTGTGTGGTGGTAAATCCTTCAAAATGGCGACGGCCACAATGACTATGCCGCCACCCTCCAAATCCAAGACGAACACAAAGCTTCCTCCAGAGAATGAACGATACCTGCGAGCTTGCTCTGATATTGCTAACGTTCTTATTCGAGAATATGAAGCTGAAAAGGACCCCAAAAAACCAAAGAAAGATCTCAATCTTAACAGACTACGTAACCAAATTGCGAAAAAGCACTGTTTGGCCCATCTGCCACCTTTGACAGCCATTATTGCTGCCGTCCCGGAACATTACAAGAAGTATATCCTTCCCAAATTAATCGCTAAACCGATTAGTATGTCTCCTGTCCCTCAGCTACAGCTGGGCACTTTCTTATTGTCATCTAGGAACGTCTTCGGGTATCGCCGTTGTAGCCGTGATGAGCAAACCCCACCGTTGTCCTCATATTGCATACACCGGTAATATTTGTGTCTACTGCCCCGGTGGACCCGATTCCGATTTCGAGTACTCAACTCAGTCCTATACCGGATATGAGCCCACGTCGATGCGTGCTATTCGAGCACGTTATGACCCGTTCGAGCAAGCCAGAGGACGTGTAGACCAGATTAAGTCTCTTGGCCATAGTGTCGACAAAGTCGAATATATCATCATGGGTGGAACGTTCATGTCTCTGCCCGAGGATTATCGCGAATCGTTCATTGCCCAGCTTCACAATGCGTTGAGTGGATATCAGACAGACAACGTCGACGAAGCCGTCCAGGCCGGTGAGATGAGCAATGTGAAGTGTGTTGGTATTACAATTGAGACTCGACCCGACTATTGCTTGGATACACATCTGAGCAGCATGCTTAGGTATGGATGTACACGATTGGAGATTGGCGTGCAAAGTCTGTACGAGGATGTTGCCAGGGACACAAATCGAGGCCACACTGTTGCTGCAGTTGCAGAAACCTTTAAGCTTGCGAAGGATGCCGGGTATAAGGTGGTCAGCCACATGATGCCCGACTTGCCGAACGTTGGGATGGAACGTGACCTATTCCAATTCCAAGAATACTTCGAGAACCCCGCTTTTCGAACCGACGGCCTCAAAATATACCCAACTCTAGTTATCCGAGGCACTGGTCTCTATGAACTTTGGAGGACTGGTCGCTATAAGAACTATACTCCTAATGCCTTGGTTGACCTAGTGGCCCGTATTCTTGCCCTAGTCCCTCCTTGGACCCGTATCTACCGTGTCCAACGAGATATTCCTATGCCGCTGGTTACTTCAGGCGTAGAGAATGGCAACCTGCGTGAACTTGCTTTGGCTAGGATGAAGGACTTCGGCACCACATGTCGGGACGTCCGTACCCGTGAAGTCGGTATTAATGAAGTCAAGAACAAGATTCGTCCATCCCAGGTCGAACTTGTTCGACGTGACTACACAGCCAATGGAGGTTGGGAGACCTTCCTTGCCTACGAGGATCCCAAGCAGGACATTCTAATCGGCTTGTTGCGGTTGCGAAAGTGCAGCCCTACACATACGTTCCGCCCTGAATTTACTGGCCAACAAACCAGTATCGTCCGTGAGCTCCACGTGTATGGCTCTGCAGTGCCATTGCATGGGCGTGATCCACGCAAGTTCCAGCATCGTGGTTTTGGTACTTTGTTGATGGAGGAAGCAGAACGCATCGCCCGGGAGGAACACGGAAGCCGGAAAATCAGTGTTATCTCTGGTGTGGGCGTGCGTAGTTATTACGCGCGTCTAGGCTATACTTTGGATGGCCCTTACATGTCCAAGATGTTGGACCCTATTGATGATGAGGAGCTATAACGTTTGTGCACTAGTTAGCATCGGCTGATATATGATTATGATAATGGACGAGCAACATTCAATGAAAAGTTTTGCTGATTGGGAAGGGTTATGGCATTGGCGTTCTGAGGGGCGGGTCTTTCTGCATTCTAGGTGTTACATGTTATCTGTCTGTGTTTGAAGATTGGAAAGGATACGTACTTGTACACAAACTAAATTAGAAGTGCATACACGCTTGTGATGCAGACTGGTTTTCAACTTTGGACACTAGTTCGTACACAATTGTCCAAACAGGCTCTCAGTCTCATAGTATATACTAAGATACCGTAGAGGTATGATATCTTGTGAGCCATATGCACAAAGAATAGTGAGGAAAGCCAATTCTATAACAACCAACACTTTATGTACAACACAAGGAGACACCAGTAATAAAGCACTTAGAACAGTAAATCAAAAGCTAAGCCTAAAACAATAGAAAGCAAGACGGTAAGTGAGCCCATGATATACAATAAACACAGGTACCTAGAAGCAGGGAACATCAGGTCATCATCCGTTCGGCAGATGCTGCAGCATACGATACACTGTATGTACGGACTATCACGTCTGATTCCAGACCACTCCGTGGTATCATTTGGGCGACGTAGTCATATCTTGGTATGGCCAAAGAATCGAATTTTGTGGCTGATTTCATCATCGAAAAGAAGGGTATAACAATAGTGGCGAATCAGTTAAGCGATATTGCGCCTCCCCTGCGGTTTCGCACGTGAAGATAGGCTTGAAAAGAACAGAAAACGAAAAAGGCCTGTAGATTGCAACTGTCAGCGATGTGATGTTCTAATTACTGTGTCAAGGTAGGGCAAATCGTACGGCATATACAAACACGGCTGTGAAGATTGAAGCAGCGACCGCAGCGCCATCCTCAGGCTCACCCTCTGAGCCGGTAAAGCCGTGGTGCTCCCTCTATGAGTATCTCAATTAGCTACCACTCCTAGTATACCACACGCAGGACAGGCAACAAAGTTGGCCATTATCAAGCGAAAAGATCTGGTAGCGGTTCCGGTAGCAAACGAACCTTGTATAACGATCCGAGGACCGAGAGAATGACAATAGCGAAAAGGGAGATGATCGCGCTATATTGCGAAGATATTTGGTCAGTTTGTAGTAAGTATAAAATTAGTTTGGTAAAGGCATACCAGGACCACGCATTCAACACCGACACAACAGGCTTCATATCGAGGACGAAGTGACTGACACAGTGTTTCAGTGATCCGACTAGGTTCGGTTTTGATGGTATCACAAAAGCGATACCCCAGAGCTTGTGAATAAGCACAGCACAAACAAAAAGAGCAGGCGTGGGATAGACCTTAGTTATGTCCAAATGCACAGCTGACAAGGAGGGCGGCTATCATAGATGATGTTCGCCAGGCGGGAGGAGAGCTCCGATTGAATTGCCAGCGCCTAAGCCGCTTTTGGCAACAATGTCAGGACCCGCTCCCGTATGAAGTTATCAACCCCCGTAGGAAAAGCGTTTCTTGACTTTATAGGTAATTATGTTCCTTTATATCTGAAGAAAAAGAGAAAAAGAAAAAGAAAAACAGTCTATTTCCTCTGGCACTAGTATCTTGTGGCTTCATATTTTGACTAATGTTTAAACGCTCGGACCATACTCCGTACAAGAGAGAGAAATATATATGTAAACCGGGCCAGCTACATCTGCATTTTTCTAAGCCACCGCTAATTTAGTGAGTTTTATTCCATTGAATACATTCATCGAATGTCACACCAGAGCCACCAAAGATATCCAACGCGCTGCCGATAGTTAAGTCCACCTTTCCTCGACTACTTGAATGAACCTTCTCAAGATCTTCTAGGTTCCGTGCACCGCCAGCATACGTAACTGGTATCGAGCACCACTCGGAAAGCTTAGACACTAACTCTTCATCTATACCTTGCTGTAGTCCCTCCACATCTGCAGCATGAATAAGAAATTCCGAGCAGTAAGGCTCCAATAGCGAGATGGATTCTTTATTTTGGTCAGTACAGGGATGCTTTTTCTTTCTCTCGAGTATAGGTCGCCTAGAAACGCCCGATACGACAGCGAAAAAAAAAAAGAAAGAAAACTAAAAGGAAAAAACTTGCCTTGATTGATTTCCATTTCTGTGATGGTCTGCCACCGGTTCATAGCTACGAACCATGTGTTGCCTTTCCTTCGGCAGCTCAGATCTAGAACCAGTTTCGATCTGTCACCTCCAAGAGCGAAAAGAACCGATTGCAACCTCTCAAGAGAGAATTTGCCATCTGGAAAGAGGAATGATGTGATGATAACCTATGCAAGGGCAATCAGTACCTTTTGCGGCAGCCTATAAGGACGAAAGCAAGAAGGGAGAGAGGAGAGAGCGAGGGGGTTTTGATACAACGCAAGAACGAGAGAATTACAACTGATTCGACCCAAATAGACAACTAAGTAGATACAGAGGACACCCAACACAGCAATAGAACTCACCTTCTCGGCACCCTGGTCTATCCAATACTGAGCATTCTTATCGGTGATTCCACCGGCGACCTGCAAGCCACTCGGCCATGTGCTAAGCGCTTCTTTTGCTGCTGCATCGTTGCCTGAACCAAGCATCACGACATGGCCTCCGCGTAAGTCGTGTCTTTGGTACAGCTCTGCGTAATGACTAGCTGGAAGTTTAGAAACATAGTTCGTCTTTAAATCCGCAGGGACATTGCTCAATGTCCCTCCAACAATCTGTTTAACTTGGCCCGAGTGTAGATCGATACAAGGACGGAACTTGGTCATCCTGTCTGTTCCAATGGATCTTTAAAACCTGGTGCTGTGTTGTAGTTCCATATATCGTTATTGTGGAAATCCCACGAGGGGTCGGCTTATCTTATCACACGTGACCACGAAAAAGATAGGTTTCAGGTTGGCCGCCATGTGATGTTTCGAACTTGGGTCCCTCAGAAATCAACAACGCTTCGAAAAGCCGGGTGTTCAAAGATGATTGGAAAGCGAAAGAGAGAGACGCATATTGTGTCGAGATCTACGGCATCCGAGGATGACGAAGCGACAACCACCACGACGGACGATAGTTCTAGCCATAATATTTTCCGCAGATTTTTCGAAGCTCAATTTCAGCCATTAGAAGTGCCTGAAACCCGCATTACATGTGCAGAGAGATCAGAAGATGAGCATGGCACCGATGAATCCGAAGAATCTGAACCTGAGTCTGAATGGAGTGGCGTCTCAGAGGATAGACATGGGGATAACAAGGTTGAGGTAGTCGAGCACCACGACTTGTCCGCGGTGGCTAAGGAGCCAATGGATAAGAGAGCCCGCAAAGCCTTTATGGTATGTCTATATATGATATATGTGTCCTCTAAAACTTGACTAATTCTATGACGATGTATAGACCGCGAAGCCGCCATCCTTCTCTGTTAAACCGGTAGCTGTTAGGAGCTCCCCAAGCAAAGACGAGGATGACGGCGATGACGCCGCAAATCTGAAGAATGACCTTGCACTACAACGGCTATTGAAGGAATCTCATCTTCTCGAGTCATCGTCGGATCTTGCGCCGACCGGTAAAAATCGACTAAAAGCTCTCGACTTGCGGATGCAATCGCTTGGAGCCAAGGCATCTCTGTACCATCAAAATATGCCGTCATCACACCGAAGAGGCATCAAAGCTAAAGCTGAGAAGAAGGATGATAAACGTCGACGGGAAGCTAGAGAAAACGGAATCATTCTCGAGAAACCCGCACCTAAAACGAAACCCAGCACCGGAAGACGGGAGCGTGGCGTCGGGGGACCCTCTATTGGAAAGTTTGCAGGGGGTACTCTGAACTTGAGCAAGCGAGATCTATCTGCCATTCAAGGCCCACGACGGTCTGGTAAAGGCAAGATCAGAGGGCGCCGTTAATGGACAGCAAGCAGTGCTGATAGGCAATTCCATTAAGGAATTACCTGCTACACCGGAACATTTTCGGAACTTCTTCGTTGAAATAACATCATAGCAAGAGTCCCTTGTCTATGACAGATTGTCTATTACCGTTGCCTGGATTAGGGGCTTTGGCATTGCCTCTATCTTCACATGGGCAACGATGGAAGTTTTACTGCCAATCCCCCGCTCGTCCTATGCTCGCCACCGCGTTCACCCATCCTTCGCGAATCCTTTTCATCCACTATTGACAATGATGAACCTAACTAAGGATTTAGAATATACCCCGGTCCCTTGTGCTGTGTTAGCTTGAGGTGTGAGTTGCAACACGACAAATAGCCAGGCGGCACCCGGCAAACTACCCACCTGTAAGGAGTTCGTCCTGAGACTTCCGTCTTGAGCATTGGGACTTGAGAAGTTTATTCTCTGGCTACTCTAGGGCGCTTTTCGTTCGATGCACGTTCCAACTCCACAGTCCTAGATATGGTGAAACCTCCGAGGAAAACAAAGTTTTAGGAATGGGGCCCCTAAAAAATCCGAGACAATCCTCCGTTTTTCTAGACTGTTTCTGGATATGGTAGTTGCCCGTGAGTGGGCTTTCATCTCTTACTAAATGAGCACTGAGTACACAGTAAAGATAATTATGTATATATATGAACATAGAGGACACCTTTGCTCGCGCTAGACCCGAACTGAGAGACATTACTACTGCGCCTTTCTTTTCCTTTCTTTTCAAATTGCGCCAGTAGGAGGTACCAACGTCTCAATGTTGGGGTAATCTTCCTGGTAGAGCTTACAGTTTTCGGATCAAAAGGTTTATTCCAAATCCTGGTCTATTGGTCTACTCTTCAATCCTTCCCATAGAGTTTTCTTTCTTTCTTTCTTTCTTTCTTTCTTTCTTTCTTTTCCTTTTCTTTTTCTTTTTCTTTTTCTTTTTTTGTTTTTTTGTACGGGGTATAGGAATCGTTATAATTGAGTTTTTAGTCTGCAATTGCACCAATTTAGGTCATAAGAGTTCCACACCGAATTTGTAGTCCCTTTCCACCGGGTACCTTAGGCCGATATGGTACCTGCATGGCTCCAGATATTTTCTCCAGTCCTATTAATACATTAATCACCATGGATAGAATAGTCTGGTGATAGTGCTTATTATCAGAGCAAGATATTACCCCTTCCAGTCCTCATCCTGCTCCATACCTGGACTCGAGCATAGGGTCGTGCCCACTGCCAGGCGAGATAGCAAATCACGAGTTGACCGGGGATTTTTCTACCATGCATTAGCCGTTTCAGATTTCTGCATGCGGCCCTTCCAAGCAAAGCAAAGAACCCAGCAAGGCATATGACACACTCATCACGAGTCACGACCTGTTGACCAAAACTCTTTATCTGCACCCGAAGGGTAGACTAGTACGCAGTGTACGCCATGTTCTCGTATCACTTTTGTATCATGGATGCGAGTCATGAACTTGAAACCGTGGCCATGGTAATGGCAACACTAAAGCCGATAGTATCCAAAAGTGCCATCTAGAGTGTACATAGCAAAAAACAAAGAATGCGTAATCACCGCTTTTAGTGCTTAACCAGCCTCTTGGCAGCCTTTCTCATGCGCCAATGCTACTCTGTCTTGGTTAGTCCACATCTGTACTTTGTTCTCCTAGTCTACACGAAGAAGCTAAAACCGATTCATCTGGTGCTATCAGGGGGGGAACTTCGGAAAATGTCTTTGGTCATCCGCAGTCTAGTAGCGCCAAGATGTGCTAAGTCTACCGGAGACCAAATGCTCCAATCGTCCACTTGGATAGTTCCCTGTTTATGAGTTACTCCATATGGCTTAAGTTGAAATCTAGGTGTCTCGAATTTTGGTTCAAACTGTGGGGAGAGGGGCCAAAGGAAATGGAAAGGATAAGAAGAATGAAAAGATAAAAAGAGAGAGAGAGAGAGAGAGAGAGAGAGAGAGAAAGAAAGGAAAAAAAGAAAAAAAGAAAAAAAGAAAAAAAAAAGATAACCCCCACCGCCTAAGTCTTTACAACAACACCCATTAACCGCTTGTTGCACTAAATCTGCCCAAGGTAGTATTCATGTATCCTCAGACTGGCTATGTTTCGGCAAAACATATGTTAAACAGGACGCAGCAACCATTGAGAAAGTGGCATCATGAAATCAAAATTCAAACTTGTGATATTAATAGCACCTAAGACTTACACAATGACCTCGTAAACATGAACAGTTGAACCTCCAAGGAGTTACTCTAGATCGTTTCACCATGGCTGATCAAGCAACAACCCGTCGTATTGAGCGGGCCAAGTGCCAGGTTCTATATTCTCTCAATGATCATCACATCTATTCCGTAGTGGGAAAAAAGAAAGAAAAATTTTTTTAAAAAAAAAGAAAAGAAAAAAAAGAAAAAATTTCTTCTCACTTTTCCCGATTTAGTGACTTTGGGGGATGAGACAACTATAATCCTTTCCGCGTATTGCAGTATGTATGTCCGTCGCGCAAAGAAACCCTAAGCTGCTTGTAGTCTAGTCCAGGCACAATTACCTATTTCAGTTGCCAAAGTGGGGGGAATCCAAAAAGAGTTAAGGTACTATTGGCACTGCACTAATCTCATTGCTTCTGTTAGCCACAGTGAATCCACTTGATGGGGAAAGGCCCCGACGATGGAAGCTGTTCTAGATACCTGTAGCTTCCAGGAGTATCCTTTAGCAATTACTCCGTAATGATATCATCAGATCTTCCCTGTTGATACGCTGTCGGAAATTCGGATATCTCGCTAACCTAACAACCAACCTCTCCGGCATTGAGGTAATCGGATGGTTGCAAGGAAGTACCTAGTTTCCCACACCTTCGGTTAAAAATTACTTCGGGTCTTTTTTCATAGTTGGTTGTGAGTTACATTCTTTGTTCTTTGCCTTATATACTTACACATGCATGTACAGGTCCATGTACATACATACGCCAAGTCCCTCTGTGCGAGTATATGAATCCATACCATAGGATACGGAGTAGGCTTGGGTGCATTCGGCCGAAATAGTGGAGTATCTACTCATAGATTGACTAGGATACAACAATCGGGCCAATTAATTTTAACCGTTCATGGTGGTTTATGAGCAGCGATATTTAACAATGTACGGAGGACAAGACCATCAGCGGGCCCAAGTTACCCATTTAGAGACCATCTCAGACATCAACAATATTTCAGGAGAACCGCATTTGTAAACACTGCAAAATGGAAAACGACGATCCTCGCAGGGCTCATCGATGAATGATCGTCGCTGGAAGCTTACTATTTTCTCTCAAGAATTGGGTTGTGCGGATCACCCCTGGTCTCTGACGTTGTTGACCGTTTTGAATGAATATATATGAACGAATATGTACTATAGCCTTATAGTCCGTAAAACGCATGGGTCACTTAATATAGTGTATTGTTCAGAGTGTTGGGTTCCCCATTTTAATATAATGAATTTCCTAGTGTACTCGTCCATGTTTTTATATCCCGTAGACCTATACCCTATACTAGACAGGGTAATTGACAGCCAAGACTCTACTCTACATGAAGATGACACACTCGGCGTTGGGATGTGATCAATGCCGATCATGTTACATGCCATGCCGATAACAACTTGAAGTCACCCGGCAAGACGTCTTGCGGATGAACAATCTAAAGCAAACGACAAGGGGTAAGTATGTGGTAGCCTGGAGTTACCTTGGATACTGTAGTAGTGAAGCTCAAGCTCAATATCCTGAAGTCCGAACCTAGTTTAGCTCTGGATTTTATCAGTTGCGCTAGTAGTTTAAGGTCAACGGTGAGATAGGAGAATTAATCTATGTATATTAGAAGGATTCAATAGAGTATAACATGGAGTTCAACTAGAAAAGGTATCTGGACTACACTCTCGACAACCCCCCTGCCAATTAGGCTCCTTTCTATTGATATGGTCTGGTGGCAAAGGTGACAGTAATTGTCATGATATAAAAGTGACCGGTCAACATGACTGATCAGACTTATCAGTGACAAAGTTACCTAATGCCCAAGTAAAATCAACGAGGCTGTATAGGGTCGAGGCTTAGTGTGATGCCCATTGTTCAGTATTGTCTGTAAGTAGTAAGTGTCTAGTAGAAGCTGGTTCAAAAACAGGAGATTGAGCTTAACTCCGCCCTTGCTATTATTAACAAGAAGGTACGGAGTATTGCTGCCCCATACACTCTATAGTCGCTAACCTATGGTCTATGCAGAATCGAAGGGGGGGCAAGAAAAAAAAATTAAAATAGATAAAATAAAAACCAAAAACAAAAACCAAAAAAGGGAATGAAAGCTTCGACTCCCTAACATGTTTTGATCATACTCCGTACAACGTCTATTTTTGGTACTGATCGAACCAGACGCGAGTTGGGAATCCTCTCCAACTTATTCCCACAAAATATCCCAACATTACCTTCATGATTTCCCTGTTCAGTACCCATGCAAGATATCATACCTATAGATGAGAAGCCGCTTCATTTCGGCTGTGAGATCATCTTGGAAGCGCTAACCATCTGGTCTGCGAGACCAGTAATATCAATCCCAGTCGGGCTGGAAGGAATTGCCGGCTTCTTCACGGAAAACCCTTGCCTGTAAATTATTACCTATGCTTGGAAGGTACATACATACATACTACTTCATCACCATCACCACACCGGGAAGTGGGCTACAGCCATAGGAGCCACTGGAGGGGTGAGCCTCCAGATTGTTGATTCCCATTGGCTCGCGGTAAGCGCTCACATGGAACCTGAAACAAGGGGTTAATGCTTCACAATTCCATCCCGCGCCAGTTTTATCTATTTGTGCAGGCTTGGCATTGTTTTGGGGTTCCACTAACAGTGGCTTCCATGGTTGGAGTCTTATCGCTTCCACTGCACTGTGAGACCAAACTCCTTTCGGCTGGTTAGCCCAGGGCATTTGGATTGGTTGGAAATACATACTAATAGGAGGAGAGGTTTACTGTGCATCCTATACAACTAACATGACTTGTCCATTTTAAGCGCTGTGGTGATCATCTCTTTGACGTGCAGGATTCCGGATAATAATTAGATTCAAGTAACAAAAAGCAAGCCAATAGGATCTAAGATGTGAGCACTCTTTGTTTTTTTTTTTCTTGTTTTTTTTATGACAATACACGGTAGATACAAAAATTCTCTGTAGAGGTTGAGTGGTACCTCCCTTGGATGCTAATTACTAACTCATAAATAGACTGTTTGTTGAGTGGTGGAAAGGGCGATGGGCTTTTCCCCTTCCTCTGCTTTTTTTACTTTTATTTTTATTTTTTATTTTTATATTTTTGGCTTTTGCGGTTCATTTTATTTTATTCATTATTCACATTATTGGGCGCCTAAAATGATCGTATTTACAATGTAGTGCACGCTTTACTTACTCTTTTCAACCACGGATGAAAATCATAAGGTCTGAGGAATATCGGAACTACCGGACAGGTACCCTCCCGATATCATTGTCTTCTTAGTCCCACTCCGGGATGCTGTGTCGATTTAGTCATTTTAACCACATGTTCGGCATACGTACAAAGGGGGCGATTGTCCAGACTAAGAAAATCTGGTTACGGAATCCTTCCCTCTCCTTTGTAAGTACTTATGTACATTAAGGATTGAGATTGATAGATGACGACGATGGCCAGGGCGTCTACAATGTGGTATGCCCGAAATTTCCATTGTTAATAGA